CCGTGATCCCAACTATAAAAAGAAATTAGCCAGACATATTCATGTCTGAATTAAACAAATTAAAATAAGAAAAATTGTTCATGAAAGAAAAAGAAAAGAAGAAGAAGAAAAAGATGGAAGATCAATGGTCTTCAGTCTTCAACTCTGTTGGAATCTTAATCTCCAACGCGAGTCTCCAAGAATTCTCTCAATTCTCTGTGCTCACGATTCTCTCCAGCCAAAGATGATTTGTTTCTGGGGTCTGAGTCTCTATTTATAGAGTTTGTGCCCTTAGAAATCTTGATCGAATCTTCATCATATATCTTGGTCTCATCTTTCTCTGATACAATCTGGATCAGTTTGAAGATTTTCCCGTACCTCCCGCGCTACTAGCGCCAGTTTCCCGCTGATAGCGTTGGAGTTTTATTCAACAAACAGCAAGCTTGCGCTACTAGCGTGGTTCCCGCGCTGATAGCGCGGTTGGCAAGATTGGTTGGCGTTGCGAGCGCCAGTGTCATGCTAATAGCATGGAGGTTCTGTTTTGGAAGCTGCTTCTGGCGCTAACAGCACCACACCCGTGCCAATAACGCGGGGCTTCAGACTTGTTCTTCCAATTTGAGCTTCTTTTTGTCCTGTTTTCCTACAAAATCATAAGAAAATTAGTGACAAGATATCTGATTGAGATTTATCAATTTAATAACAATTCTAGCCCTTTTTATCCAAGATTGATCAAGATTCTTTATCTTTTTGGCTTAAAATCATATATATGTTGGAGGCATATCATTATACCATACATAATTTTTATTGGTTCATGGCATACTAGTGTTTAACTAATAATACTCAAATCCCCTTCACCGTGGACAACAAATAGAAGATATTGTTCATCTTTACAAAAGTCAATATCTTTACAAAACATTGCCATGATACCTCGGAGCTTGCTTGAAATGATAGACTAACCAAAGATGCCTTGGGGACATGTGATTTGTTAGAATCAATTACATTATCACAAACTGACCACTGGCGTATTGATCTTAGCATTAGACAATTCTGCAACTAACAAAATGTAAAGCACATAAAATAAAGAGGTTGAATGTTGATTGATTTATGTTGCGACTTCGGCAAGTGTACCAGTCGTACAAGTAATATAGTAAAAAGAGAAGGGTTATCGTTCCCACGAGGATTGATTTATCAAGCAATAACTTATTTATATAACCAAAGTTAGATCGATCTTGGGAGTTCTTGAGAATATGATGTTGATTTAATAAAAATAGAATTTTAAAACAATATTTTTGATTTTCAAGATTGAGAAAAAGAATGCAGACAAGAACGGAATAACCACGAGTTGAAATTTAATATGCAAGAGCGTAGCTAGGGATTCAATTTTTCCAATATTTTTCTAACAAATCTACCCTTTCATGCAATCAATATTCAAAATTGAGTTATCGACAATTCTTTCAAATTAATTAAACCCCCCAATCCCTTGGTGATTTAATCCTTTACTTTATTCAAAATCCTAATGCCTTAGAAGTTTATCTTAGAGCAAGCATTAAAAGCAAGAACCATAAAGTCATAAAATTTATAAGTCTATGTCTAAATCATACTAACTCTAGCAACTAATCAATTGGAATCAAGACACCAATATTGCCATTGTCATATAAGACTCTAGTTTCCATTCACAATTGGCTAGATCATAAATGAACTTTAAAAATTAAAATAGATTAATTTCATAACTCAAATCATGAATATCAATTACAAGAAAGCATAAACAGTGTTAGGAACCCATTAGTTCCATCTCACCCTAACCACATAAAGAAATCTAGCCTAACATGTTCGTGAAAACAATAACAATAGATGAAAAGTAAAGGGAATTCATAGAGAAAACTTGATTAACAATGATCCATGGTGAATCCTTTAGTCGTTCTTCCTCCTTCTCCTCTCCAAAAGCTCTCCTCAGGTTTCTAGCCGCGCACAAATGAATCCAAATACCCTTAAACGCGTCTTTTTAAAGAAAATAATCATGGGCTTTAATTTGGATCACAGATCGTTGAGGAGCTCGCTTAAGCGAGAAAATATGATCACCTCGCTTATGCGTCTCGCTGGAGAGAGAGAACGCAAGAAAAACAAAGTCCTCGCTAGCCTAGCGAGCAAGTCCAGCGAGCTAACTCTGAGAAGCCTTAATTCAACCAATGCTCGCTGGACTTGCTCGCTCAAGGGAGCAAGCCAGTGAGCACATATTAATGATGTTTAATCTTCATTTAACTTGATCCTTATCTCTTCCAACTTCCTTTATCCACCAATATTGTGATCTATCATTTTAAACCTGAAATAATATAAAAAATGAGAATCATATCCAAATATTAAAACCCTATAATCTTTTGCAGTTATTAATTATTACTATGTTCTTGATCATATTCATCTTTATTTAATCTATTTTTTTTATCTTAAAATATAGTGTCTGTGACACTTCAATTTATCTGCAATACAATAAGTTGTAGGCACAAATCCATTTACCAGAATTTGTCGGGTGTGGGGCATAGGTAAATCATAAATGTAGCAATTGAATCAACCAAACAAAATTATAAGCTCAAGAAGCCGATACTTCACTGTAATTTTAAATATTAAATTACATTCATACGTTTTCATTACCCGTTGGACTCCTGAAAATAAGTAAAAAAAAGTACAAAGCAAGTGCAGTGATTTGGATTTGAGAAAAAAAGGAAAATACCCATTTATCCAAAAGTGAAAACCTTGGACATTTGGAGAGTAGTTCAGTGGCTTTGGAATGGAGTTGGAGGGCAACCATCATTTCATCGTTGCGACGAATATTGTCGAGTCACTTGCACTCGTACTCAGTTAGTTGCTAAAGCGCCATTGAAGAGAGAGAAAGTTAGGGATTTGACATTCAAATCATTGTCATATTATTGGTAACTTGGGCATCAACCAAATTCAACAAAACTATTCTACCAGAGTCATAACAAATAGAGTAAACAAAAAATCAATTCAAACTCGTAAGAGATTTCGATTATATATGCTTTTGTGTCTCTATCTTCGTCGATAAAGAGAAAGGGTGGGAGACAGTGAAGGGAAAGAAAAAGCTAAAAGTGTTTATTTTTTTTCACAAATTTCTATCGTTGAATAAGATTATAATCAAGTGATATTAAGAGGAGTATGTAAAGTAAACAAAAATAAAATTAAGCAAAATAACTTATTTCATATTAATATTATTTTTATCTTTCAAGGACTAAAAAGTGTTTACTTTATTTTTGATTGATCACTGAGGTCGATCATACATTAGATGTGCACTAAGGTTGTCTCGCATCTTTTAAGCTTATTATCAAATAAAAAATAAATAAATTGTTATTATTAATTTTACTTGTTTAAAGGTTTAAAGTAAAGGAAAAGGCCTAAAATTGGGGCCGGTAGTGGTGGATTTTTGCTCAATCCGACTTATCGTATAATGTTATAATTTAGATTTGAATTTTTTCACAAGAAAATCATTAAAACTCGCACTCTAAATTAAGGGGTAAGTTTTTTATATCGGTGTAAAATAAAAAAAATTATATTCAATTTTGATTATTGATCTGCTTGCATTTAATTATTTATTTATATAACAAATTCAAATATAAATAAGATTAATAGTTAAAATTCAAATATAACTTATATTGATGTGAAATATTCCTGACCCTATTAGGAATATTTTAAATTAAATTTATATGATAGTTAAATATAATTTTAAAATCAATCTATTATTGCATATAAACTAAAAAAATGCGTCAAACTAGTAAATATAAGTTAATATGATAAGTCATGATTGGTCTAGTAGTGAAAATTTTGGTTATAAATTATTTGTGCAATTCTCACTTTTATATATATATATATATATATATATATATATATATATATATATATATATATATATAATGAATATAAAAGATTTTTTTTTTTTTGATAACATGAATATAAAAGATTTCGTTAGTACCTAAATTAACATAATATTTATTAGATTAGGAGTGCGGAGCTAGACACATTAGATTCGATACCTTCAAACTAAGTGGGTAGCCAAGTTAATATTAAAAAAATTTACAAATTCATCTTTCATATCACTCATTTAAAGTTAGAAATTAATATAAAATATTAAAGAGGAATAGTTTTTCATGTTGCAGAAGAATTATTCACTAAGTGGGGCTCATCACTATTTTTTAAAAAATAATAAAAATGGAGAAATTATTTTGATCCTATTGAAAGGATAATAATATTTTCTGCAACAGGAGAAGTTATTATCCCAGTATTAAAATATAAAAGTATAGATAGTTCTTGCTTTCACGTCTTCAACCACTTCTTAATATATAATTATTAATTTTTTTTTTTGTGGGGGGTGGGCATTTGTTTGCTGTGAATGGTGGCAGAAGTTGAATGATTTGGTTCATTAGTGCTATTAAGAACCATTTTAAATATTTTATTATTAAACTAGTTTTTAAAATATAAAATAATTATCAAAACTTTTTATATATCATTATTTTAATTTTTTATAAGAACAAACCTTTTAAATTTTTAAAGATTTAATTTAAGGGTTAATATAATCTCATATTGTATTAGAAAAGAGTAGACACGCATGTGGTGGGATCCACCATTTACACAAAAAAAGGAAAAAAAATAAAAAAGAGTGTCATGATTTTCTATGGATATATTGGAGATAAAATTACTCTTATGTTATATAAGAGTAATTTTTTCCTTAATTTAATGACAAAAGCTTTCAAAAATTGATGGGATTAAATCATTATTTTCTTAAGAAAAAATATTTTCCTTTTATGATTCAAAAAGTGAATTACTTTTACATTTTCTTTTTCATATATGAGAATATAATTTTTCTTGTTGTATGAGATAATTTGTCATATGCACACGTAAAAAAGTAAATAAGGTTCACTTATATTTTTTCTCTCTTTTCTTCTTATTGGATGCTATTCAATTTTATATATACATAAGATAATTTTATCTCATATAATATGAAAAATTATATTGCTATATACATGAGAACATTTTCATATGCTTTTGTGGCCATAAAGACAGGAAACTAATACAACAAATCACTCTGTATACCAGTAATAGTTGCAACAGTTAACACTATTTTACATTCTTAATTCCCTAACATACAAGTTGGCGAAAGAACACTCCTGCACAAAAGTAAGGGCACCCAGAATAAGGTCCTTTGGTCTCAAAATTCAATATTCCTTTTCAGTCTCTCTCTCTCTCTCTCTCTCTCAAATAAAAGCTTATCATTTCTCTTCTTCCCACATCATGACTTCCTTCATATCAAAATAAAGGGTCCCTCAGAAAAAATCCTAAAAGTGCAAAAAAAAAAAAAAAAAATCTTAAATAAAAAACTAAAGAAGTGAAAGAAAAAAAAAAAAAAAAAAAACCAAGACCTATAATTTTTGCTCTTAGAAAAGTGCTAAAATTCTTTTAGTCTTTCTGCAAACTCCGTTGGGCAAATCACTGCTCCATCTATGCAGAGACCACCTTTGGTGTGGGTGCAATCAATTTGGGCCAAAGAAAACTTTATGCTTATGGGCCCATTGGGCCTATCGACGGCAAAATCTCCAACATGGCAGTGGGTCCATTCTCCTGGCCCACGCAAATAGGACTGGGACAGTGAACGCTGGCCGTCTGATGTACATAGTTGAAATCTGACGGGCTTGATGTCCCAACCATGCACTTGATCAAGGTTGCACACGCGCCTGCCCAATCTCTTAGAGGTCTTCCCCAATTGAAGCCTGAAAAATAGGCTATAGTTCCCTTTTGGAAATTCAAACTCTAGCTCCCCTAATACTTCAACCCACCACATTTGTTGAAGATATGCAACACCCTTGAACCTGCATGTTCAAATTCAATGTTCAATTAACTCTTTGCTTTATTTTTATTATTCTAGAATTTAAACCGATTTAATCTAGTTCGAGCACTGTGAAACCCATACTAGGAATGCACTTCCAACATAAATTTTTTTATTATTAAAACTTGAACTCGAGAACAAGAACTAAACTATTATTTAAAAAAAATAAAATTGAAGTGATTTATAAGATTGTGTTAGTTATTAGAAAAACTTATAATCAAAATGCTCACAATAAAACATTTGACTTAAGCTTGTTAAACGCATGTTAAAAACAAAAGGGATAATTTAAATATATAAAATTGAGAATAAAATTTAGAAATGAACTATTGTATAATTTCTCATAAAATCTATTCTTGAATTTTTGTTCCTAATTTTTAAGAAAACCAAAATAATCTTAATAAGGAGTGATGTTTGAATTCCTATTAAAAATGTGGAGACATGCTAAGACACAAAAAAGAGAACAGTCTTAGCTCAATAACTTTAAAAATTAATCGTGATTGCGTATGTCTAAAGTCTAAAGTCTAAACATATATATACTGAGAATTTTGTGTGCCGCTCTAAAACTATTCAATAATTTATGAGAAATTATATTTTTATGTTATATGAGATTGTCCTCTCATGTTACATTCATATCAAAAAATATACCTGTTTTTTTTAAATTAATGGATTTCATTTTATTTATTTCTCAACATAAAAAAGTTTGTCTCCTATTACATGAGAGAAATTATCCCCATAATTTTTTATTTAGCGAAGGTTTTCATGCCATGTAAAATGCACATAACGATAAAAAAGCACGCTTCTCAATTTTATTATACTTAATTTATGAAGAAGACACTCTATTACTAAAAGAGAAACATATGAGCAACGATGCTTTTGTTTTGTTTGGATATGTGAAATTCAACTATCATCACCAAAAGATACAACATTAATTACTTAAGATTACTTTTGTTAAATACAAGTCCTTTTTGGCTACTGTATAACATTTTTTAAGTGCAACTTCCTTGCACTTTTGTTCCCTATTCTTTAATTATCTATAAGATATGAATGGCTGACTAGGAAAAATTAGTTACAAGAATATTGTAAAGCAAATTGCCAATAGCCTTTTGAAAACAAACCATTTGTAAAAGTCTTTATAGAAAGGAAACAAATAATAATTAAGGTAAATTATTTTTATTGAAATCTAGATATATAGATAATCCTTTCTTTGTTGCTGTCATGATAGATCCACCCCACCTAAAATCTAAAACTTTAAAAGAAAAAGATCTATTTTCTCATTTTCTGTGAACACAAGCAAGCCTATTTTTCATTTACAACTTAATTCGATCAGAAACATTTCAAAACCTTACCTTTCAATGAGCATAAGAATGCTAATTCAGTTAACAATCAACAAGGTTCAACTTAGATCACAAGATCAAGAGAAAAGACTTGAACATATACATAAATTAGAATAATTTTTCTTCATTATCATTTTTGTTAGGAAAAAAAATTAAAATATATGAACCGCTCTCACCTTGATTCCTCAGTTGGAATATGATTCCAATATCTTCTATCGTCGATTCCTGTTATCTTGAAGGACTTTGATGAAATGAACAAGCAAACTTGACCACTGCTTCTGTCCAGCCAAACTTCCTGTAACAATCACCACAAAGGACAAAAATAAAACTTGTCAATGCAATGAAGAGATAGGAAAAAAAAAAGAAAAAGGAAAATTAAGAAGACACAAATAAAGGGTAAATCCCAATGAACAAGGCTCTACAATTTGTTAGGGTAGTTTTACCTTTGTATTTTTTTTTAACAAAGAGACTCTTTTCCAAAATTTGGAACCTCCCTCTAGATATCCTTATATTTTGTGGAAAGAAACTGTTTTTCAGACTTGAATGTGTGACCTTCCCATCACTAGTATACGAGAAGACTCAAATTAAAGGGTAAATTCCGGTGAATAAGGATCTTCGACTTGCTAGAGCAGTTTTATCTTTATATTTTTTTTTTATAAAGAGACTATTTTTCAGATTCAAATCTATAATCTTCTGGTCACTCGTTCTCGAGATACCCTTATATTTTTCTGATCACTCACCCTCGATGAGACTCAAATTAGTTGAAAATAATGATGCTAAAGAACCGATTCACAAATATAATTAAGAAGGTTGAGTAACTTACTTTGGAACCACCATCAAAGAAATTGGGTTGACATAGTTTGGCATAGATCTCTTTCTTGGTCATAGAACCAAGATTTTCTTCACCAAGAACTTTATTGATAAGATATTTGTAGCTTGGTGGCAACTTTGATTCCCATACAAAGTCAGCAGAAGCAGCTCTATGAAAAGTTCTGTTCACTCTAGCCAATTTGCAAATTTCTTGTGGATCAAAATTCATCATCATGGAAGAGATGAAGCTCTCCGGGATATCATCAAAACTAGTCTCTGATGACAGAGAAAAAGAGGCTCCATCATCATTTTCTGCTGCAGTTGTAGAAATTCCAGCCCCCATAAATGAAAAACACAGAGAAATATTATATATATGTTAAGGTGAAGAAATCCAAGACTATGGTGAAAAGGTGTTGTTTTGGTTCAGTGGTAAAGCAGAAGGTGGTAAACCAAATGAGAGCCTGAAGAAAAAACTGATATAGAAGTTGCTTTCATTCTCTGTGTGTATGGATTAAGGAAGGGTAGTGGGCGTGCACCATTGGGTTTTGGCTTTTAATAAAGACACAAGTGGTGGAGAGTGTGAGGTAAGAGGTATAAAGGGAAGTTTCTTCAAGTCCATTATGCTAAAGTTCCAAACCAGAAAAAAAAATTGTAATTATAAGGTGGACGTGTACATGACTGTGCATGGAATATAATATGTGCTTTATGTGGGGAATATTAGAGCACAAGATAAAGATAAGAATATTTGAATTAGTTTCAAATATTCGTATTCGAATAAGTTTCAAATATTTTGAATCAATTTCAAATATTTGCATTTAATTTATTATATTTCTATTCATTTGTACAGTTCATGCCATGTATTTGTTTTTATCCATTTGTACAACTCATGCCTTGTATATGTGTCAATAATAATGATGCAAAGTTTTGATTCAATGACCCTGTGTGTTATCTTCATTTAATTGGTTGCCTTGTGTACCTTACCATTACATGCCCTGAACTATGTTATGTGGTTCATACTTTGTTTCAATTTATGTAAGCTCCTAAGCAACAACATTTTGATGCAGTTATGTGTGTTCTACGCTATTTGAAATTTAGCCCAAGACAATGTCTCGTGGTTCCTGTGAAAAATAATTTACAGTTGTGTGCCAATTGTGATTCAGATTGGGTCAGTTGTCCTATTATGCAAAGCTCGCTCGCCGAGTATTTTATCACAATTGGGTCTTCTCATATCTCCTGAAAAAACTAAAAAGCAAGCTACTATCTCGTGCTCTTCGGCAAAAGCGGAATATCGCTCAATGACCACCACTACTTTTGAACTTCTTTGGATTAAGTCATTTTTTTGTCTCTTTTGGAACCTCTTATTATCAACCTATGCAATTATTTTGTGATAATCAAACGACTCTACATATTGATGTCAACCATGTCTTTCATGAGCGCACTAAACATATAGAGTTGGATTCTCACTTCATTCGTGAACATCTTATGGACAAAACTATTTCAACGCCTTATATTTGATCAGTGATGCAACCAAAGAGTTTACCTATAATAAAGTATATGAGAATACTCTTATAAAAAACATAAAAAAAATGTGCATTTTTTTTGTAGTAAAAAATTTGCATTTTTTTGGTAGTAAAAAATTTGCATCTTTAGTTTTGTAGTGAATGTGCTTTTCTATTAAAAATATGAAAGAGAGAAATAAAAAAAAAAATTCTATACTTTAAAACAATTAAAAAAAATTAAACTTTTAAGAAATTTCATGTGTCGATTTTTTGAAATAATTTTTATAGTATATATAGATCGATAAACTGATTGATTTTAAATTTTACCATCACTGAGAGAATAAACATGATTTTTCTTTCATGAATTCTAAATTTTGATGCGAATGGATAACATGCACTATTGAGGACTCTGGCACAATTAATTTTTATTAATATAGTCTTTAAAATCCGAGAGTCAACTTTTTAATAAACAAAAACATTAAAAAGAAAGAAAAATTAAAATTATAAATAAAATATAATATTTCTCTATCCTCTTCTAAAAGAAACTTCTTTTTCTTCTTTTTCTATTAATTATCCAAACAAAATATTCTTTTACAAATTAAGAAATTGTTTTCTATATTCTAGACTTTGTGGCCCGTGTATAAATCTTATCCACTTTTGCCTTCAGACATGAAACATATAAGGTCGTTTGTCGTTACATATCTATCCAGCACGGCAAACATAATGATATAGTACATACATGTGAATACAAATGTTGTCTATTCTATTGACATCACATCGATTGTTTGAACGTAAAAGCATAAACATAATCCATTATTTGGTATCTTAAAAGAAAAGAACTAGTGGCCCCATCTCTCCTTTCTCTCTCTCTATATATATTCAAATTTTATTTTAAAATAGTGTTTGGATCTGTGATTTACATCCACTAGTTTTCAGGATCTCTATGTCTTTTTTTTGGTCAAGGAATAGGAAGCAGATTAATGCATACCTGGCAGTGAGTCAGCTTAAGTGCTAAATGGGAAATGGATTGGAGCAGCCAAGTCATAAAGCAAATAGCTGATTTAGTCAAACCTAATCTAATCATTGTGACGTTGTTTTTATTCCCTTCACGAGAGGATGCAATCCTCCTCAAAAAAAAAAAAAAAAAAAAAAAAAAAGTTGAGGATAATGCTTCTCATATATATGTATAACATTTAAGGAGTGAAAAATATGAAACAAATACTTGTTATCAAAACAGATACTAAAGGATGATGAAAATAAGAAGGAATTGTTCTTGAAACCTAAAAGTGACACTGTTTTTAAGGTGATATTTGCTCTCGCACTTTATTACAGGTATTTTTAAAAGTGACAGTTTATATCTGCGGACACTTCAACAAACACGAACACTGAAAGAGAAAATAAAATAATAGGTTAAATAAAGAGACAAAGTAAACTCAACCATCGATTTCTTGGTTGAGTTTTTATATTAAAGAGAGATATCGTAGCTAGCACTTTTTATATGTCGTTCGTAAATTTCCACTTTTTTCTATTATGATAACAGATTAATGTTTCTTATGAGATAATTTTATTTTTTATATACATATAAAAGTAATGAAACTTACATGAGATCATGTGAAAAAAAGAGAGAAAAAAAATATAAATTTCATATACTTTTATATATGTGTAAAAAATAAAATTTATCTTCAATAATATAAAAAATATTATTACGTGTGCTAATCTCATTGATCAGGGGAAGACAGGTGTGTACTCTAGCTGGCAATGTTGAATTCCGATTGATGACTAGACAAGTCATTTGGGCCAATTACAATCCAGTTATAGCAAATTGTTTTTTGAGTATTAATATTGGTTAAATATTATAACAAGGGAGTCACCTTTTTTATTAGAAATATCTTTTCATTATACTCAGTCGTGATCATATTTGTAGAACTAATATCACAAAAATAAGTGTACAAAATATTTTGATTAATTTTTTTTTTTAATTTTTTTAATTAAACAGAAATAATGTGATAAATAATTATAATGGAGATTTTGAAAACATTATCTTCTGATTTTTTCCCTTAATTTTGAAAAACATTATTCTTTCTGAAGTCAAACTTCAAACACAGCCTAGAAACTTCTTCTCTTCCTTGGACCCTTCCCCTCAGAAGAATATCTTCTATCAAGTTGTTGGAGATCTATTGAATCTTCAACTAATTAATCTCTAAAGAGTAATGCTAACTTCCCCTGTGTTTAAGAATCTACCATATATATAGGGGACTTGTCAAAGATTTGGCTCCTTGTCGTATCACATTTTATAATATTAATAACAACCAAATAGTCATAAATATATGGTTACCACTTACTAGTTTAGCAATTTAATTAAGAGTTGAAAATGAAACCCAATTAACACGGGCGGAGCTATGTTTCAATTAGAGTCTCGATCAAAAAATTATATGTGTATTTATTTTTTTTAATTTTAATTAGTTCATATCATAATATATTTAAATTATATTACATACAAAACATCTGAGCAGACAATATCAAAAAGAGTAAAAATTTTATTATTTTAATTTTATTAAATATATTTAAATTTATTATATAAATGAAAATGAAACACATAACTTAATACAACTTATTCAAATTTCTCACCAAATATATTTTATTTTTTTGATAGGGCCAAATTATAAATTTTAGCCCAGGTCAAATTATAATTTTAAATTGGATCAAATAATAATTAATTATATAATTATACATAATAAGTATAATTTATTAAAATTTAACTTAGACCGAGAAATCCACAATTAATGAAGTTGATATCGATCGACAGATGGAGCTGGCAAATCGAGAATCACATGGTTTCTCTTAAGAAATTTACAAAATATGAATTATTTAACCCTGCGTCATTATCATGTACTATTTGATATTGTATTTCTTTATGAACTTAACAACATAATTTATATCATAATTCGTTGTTCTCAAATTGTTAATATTCACATGAACAACGCCAGACAAGGCTATTTGTTCATACTTTATAGGTAACCTTTAATAGCTGTCCTATGTCATCCATTGAATTACAACAACGCTGCACAAGTCTTGTTTCTTGAAAATTGTGCAAAGTGCAAACTAAGGAAAATGCCGAAGAAATAATTCTTGATTAGAGAAACATTTTTAAAACGTGCATTGAATATTAACATCAACAATGGCCCTTAAGTCAAAATACAGGCTGTTTTGTTGCTTAATTTAATCATTTTGTTGACACTAAGATGAAAAGAAAGAATAAAAGAATTGGGAATCTTTAGGATTTAAAGTGTTTTCTTCAAAATAACAGTAATTTAATTGGCATCAGATAATTGAAGAGTTGAGAACGAGAATATATATTCGATCCTTTCTATTATCATCTTTGGAAAGGTTTAAAGTTTTATTTTCGAAACTCGTCCCGAATCGGACTAATCACGAAACGATGAATCGATTGAAATATTTCAATTTTTTTATATTTTGTCCAAAGAAACATTTTCGATAACCGTGATTTAATTTGTCTTCTCAAATCAATGGTCAAACCTCTAAATCATTTAACGGAGACTAGACCAAGATGGGGCTAAATCATTCAATGAAAGTGTCTTTAACTTGAGAAATGGAATGGAATGTGTTCTGGCCTTCTAACTCAATAAGTTAGGTTAAATATTAATAGCTTACATCTATAACTTTTTAAAGAGTATTTCATGATGAGCTATAGGAATTTTATTATAGAGGAATTTTCCTTAACTCCGCACTGCTACCCATTATGCATGACAGTTGACACAACACGCCTTGCAACAAAGACAAGGTTTGACTAGGTGGTTCAGCTCTTGTCTCTCACTTCTCTTCCTCTCTCTCTTACGCTTGGAGAGTAGTGTCACCTCACTAAATACCCTCTTCTCTTATTGAAGGAATATCTTCTATTTTATTAATGAACTATTACTCTACAAAAATATAAAGTCACTATAGCCATTTACCCACTCCCTTCTTTTTGAGATATAATACTTGGAAAACTTTATAAGAGCCTTGATCTTTACTATTACTATTAAGAGTAGCCCCTAAATTGACATATTATACCAATTGAGGAATATATCAATGGCTCTACCAAACACGAACTGTTCAGAATGTGACTGAACCGTTGTGTTGCCCCATGCCATTGTTCATTTAGCTAGCAGAATGAGAAGGTATAAAATGTCATAATCATAATCCGAACTAAACTATGACAGTGTATGCTTGCTGGTTACTACCTCTGCGTCATAGCCACTCATCTACAACCATAGAGAAATATTGTTCATAGCTTTATTCATTTTGAGGTAAACCACCACCCCTTTGACTTTAAATCTGCCATCACCTCTTATGGCTGTTTTCTCCATAGACACGGCTGGTCTTCACATCTCACATTAATCATGATTATTTTAAATGATATGCTTGAATTGAACATTGACATCATCTATAAAAATCAATAAATTTCAATTCCCAAGCACACAGCCACCAACCCCGCATTAGCACCAGAACGCACAATAGCAACAGCAGCCGCTGCTTAAGCCTCTGCTGCCTCTTGAGAATAATGCATTGGCATATCATTTGTTTTCTAGAGCCACTTTTTAGGACAGAGCAAAATAGTTGGTGTTTTTGTGACATGCTTACGTGCTTGTCCCTGCTTCCTTTATACATTGCCATTATTGATGCAAATATGTAGTCATCCTATAAAAACAAACAGATACCAAAAATTGGAGCACAATATTCTGCGTACTTTTGTGTGTGTTAAGTAGCAGTAAAATGATATAGCCAGAAAAATACCTCCATAATCCGCTTGAATTTTTGCACACACAGTGTTTTCATATATGGAATAAAAAGAAAGCTCAAGTTGAGACTGTATGTATGGTTGGCATGTATAAGAAATTGAGGGAGAAAGTGAACAAAATAAATATTATTGAAATAACTGAAATGAATTGATTTGTGGGATCACAATGACCTTCAATGAATATATAAGTGTTGCTAATTGTTTCAACTTAATCAATAATTTTGAGTTCAAGCTTAAAAACTTGGTAGTGAGGACTTTTCTATTCTTATGGTCGAATAATTGATTAATCCGTAAAGAAATCTAGTATATATATATATATATGTGTGTGTGTGTGAAGGATCCGTTTACAAATTTCTTTTACAAATTACACTAGTATGATCGGTCATACACTCTTGATTAGTGTATGACCAGTCCAACATAGTGTAGTTTATATATATATATATATATATATATATATATGGGAAGAAAATCCGTTTACAAATTTTTTTTACAAATTATACTAGTATGACCAGTCAAATATAGTTTAATTTCTAAGAGTTTCTAAACACAAAATTTATAAATCGGTTCAAGTCAGACCATAACCATCCCTAAATGCAAGTGAGCCAGTTTCAACATCATCATGTAAGTAGTTTATTTTTGCTCTAACTCAGAACAGATTAACTAGGCATTGCTTAAACGACAAATATCTATTTCTAGCATGCCATGAATCTATGTTAAAAAGTCAGTTTAACAAAGTTTTGGGTCTTATATCGACCAATTGTCCAGCATTTTTGTCCTTTGCTATTCCAAACATGATCAAACACCTACTGGGGTAAGACTAAAAAATTAGCATCTATTTATCCCGAATGTCAAAATCAAAATTTATTCTCAAAAGCCTACATGTTTGTAGATTTAGAAAATTATGCCTACAACCTGTTGATCTTGGTCAGATGCATGATGCTTACAATTTATCCTAAATTAAGAACTGATTACGGAATACCAGTAATAATCAGACTTACCCTTCCATATTTATGGCTGTATCATAAAATGCTTAAGAGCTGAACTCCCACCTAGTCCCTTCTTATAATAATGAGCATTGAAATCTTGCAATAATGTTTCCCTATACACTGGGGGGTTGTCTTCTGACAGTAATTCCTTGATGGGGCCATACATTATTGAAGATGGGTAGTGATCAAGAGTGAAAAAGCATGCAACTGATACTCTAGGCCCTCTATGATTTGCCATAACTTGATGCTCCACGCTTTTAAATTGGTCATTTGATATAAGCTGCAGTATGACAATACAAAATCCATTCAGCCAAATATTTATTCACACCAATATCTGAATTTAGCATGAGCACACACAAAGACACTAGAGATATAGGCACTGAGTTGTTCATCAGAAGCTGTTGGATCAATGAGTCCCATAAAAGCAGAAATAGTTCCATAACACATACTAGAAAAAGTCCTGAGAATAATGATGAGTTGATGTCACACTTTATTGTTCATCTACATCTATCCCATTGAGCCTTATTATTGAATCATTGCAATTGATGCCTAATCTTAATAAAACATCAATTCATAGGAACAACATAAAGTTTATATGAAGAAGAACAATGGAAATCAAGTTCTGCTCTCAGAACTCATCAACAAGGAAATGGTTTTTTCACAAATGTTCTTTTGTGTCATGACAAAATTATGTTTAGCTTGACTAAGGTTATGGATATGATTAATGCCAACAATCAACTATAGGACCTTGATTAAAAAAAGGAAAAGATATAGTTGTGAATTTTCAAATAACCTGCAAACCTATATTAAATTTGTAAAGTATCTGAACAGTTGTATATCTATATTACTCCTGGATGTATGCTTCTGCTGATTCAACCTTCTAAGAAACCATGCACATATATATCTAATGGTGAACATATACTGATATATAGAATGATGAAACCGTGCAATGTGTTCTTCTCAGATTAAGAAAGCAATAGGAAGTTCATACTAGTCATATTTGCAAATCACTTACATGGTATGAAGACATTAACAGGGTGCAATGCATTCTCATCACCATGTATATATTATTATTATTGTTTTGTCTTGAGGTAGGCTATACTAGAAGAACTGCATGTTGGAAATATTTGAATAATACTAGCATCACATCAATGTGAATAGAAATATTTCTTTCGTTGTTCATAGTAAAAGGGGGGAAAATGATGAACTGACTTGTAGCATATCTCCAATATTTACTACTAGAGCTCCAGGAATAGGGGGAACATCGATCCACTCGTTTTGCCTCAAAACTTGTAGTCCACCAATGTGATCTTGTAGCAGAACTGTGAGGAACCCAGGATCTGAGTGTCTACTTGTGCCTACAGCCAGATGAGGCTCAGGACATGCAGGATAATAGTGAATAAGAATTGAATGGCCTTTTGCACAATCTATGCCTTCAAGATGGTCAGGCTTGAGTCCAAGTGCTTCTGATAGTAATTCAAATAAAAAGCCCCCCAATACTTGAACTTGCCTTGAGTACTCCATTGTCACATCCCTGTAAAATCATACAGATTACATAATAAGTATCCAACTACTTTTTCCACCAAATCAGTTCTGTTTTTCCTACATCATATTAGTTCACAAACTCTCAAACCAAGCTAGATTCCTCCAAGTGATAGATGCTAAATCTTCTAAAACAAAAAAAAATTGTTAAATATAGCGCAACACATCTCATGGAAAATTATTAAGTTTACATCATAGATTGAATATACAATTTGGTCCCAGAAAACTGTGTTGTGTTACTTGGTTACCAAAAATTTTCATTTATACAAATTCGTGAAGGGGAGGGCGAGCCTTAGAGTAGAAGTAAGGTTGCTCTTTGTGACCAGAAAGTCATAGGTTCGAGTCTGGAAAATGGTCTCCTTGCAAAAATACAAGGGTCTATTGCGTAAAATCGACCATTACCTCTACCTTCACAAGACAGGGAGCTTTGTGCACCAAAATTGCCCTTTTTTTTTATACAAATTAGGGCAGGAATGGATGAATTTAGTTTATAATTTTGACAAGGTGAACTTGTTAACAAATTGAAGATTTGAGGGACAAATTTATATAGAAAATTTCGAGACTAAAAGCAAAACAAATATAATATTTCAAAACCAAATTGTATATTTGTATCTCAAATGAAAAATTCCTTCAAATCATGAGGCAATCGATATGAGACTTCCAACTCAAATTTAAACAAAACTTCAACAAATTCTAGTTATTATCATTTAAGTAAATAATATTTACATACTTAAATGTGCATGCTTTACACAAATTTGCACGTGAATTATTAGATTAACACTCTAAATTTCCTTGTCAAATTTACCTACAGACAAAAGGCAATTGTTGTGGATCAAGAGGTTCAGGACCCATATCACAAAACAGAGTGTCCCTCCAATTAGCATATTTTGACCGATACAAATCAAAGTTGCTACCATACTTCACCTTCCTCTTCTTCTCTCTCGTATAATACTCAGCCTTCAACTCTTGCGGCAGCTCGTGAAATTCACGCGCCGCCGCCAACATCTCTTCCAACAGCTCCGTGGGTATTCCATGATTCACCACCTGGAAAAACCCCACCGTTTGTGCGGCCAGCCGGACTCTGGCAACAACATCGGCACGTGTTCCAGCGACGTCTTTGAGGTCAATTACAGGAATTGTGAACCGGGTCAGAATCGGTTCGCCGGAAATTGGGGTGTCGCCGGCCAGCTCTTCCGGCGGCCTGATGAAAATCCGTGGGACTTGGGTGATCCCAGAGTCAACAAGGCCTTTAACGCCAGCTTTGGATTCATCGAATGCCTTCAGTTCTTGCAAACGATCATTTACTACTACCATTGTCATATACTACAATCTGCTTCGCTTGTATTTATATTATTGAAATCTTTCACAGCGAGAAAATTTTATGCAGCGATTGATTTTAATTATGTATTGGTAATATATAATTAAAATAATAAAATTATTTTTTTTCTCAGTCACGTTAATTAATAATGTCTTAGAAAAAAAAAACACAGCTTTATTATTAAAACTATGGGATAAACTAGCCTTATGCCGTAGAAAAAAAAAATCTCAAACTGACAGTTCAATTTTTGCGCCAAACATTTTTTTTCTTTTTCTTGTTTGTCATAGGTGAATCCCAGATAACTTTTTCTCCCACCAACAAAAGAGGATTACTCTCCTACGATAGGAGAGTCACTTTGTTCTAAAACTATATGCTATCATATTATAATAATAATATAAAATTTGATTTTCTCGTGTTGTATAAGAATTGAATTTTCATATTATAATTCAACTAGTGATGAAATTTATATTTATTAAAAAAAAAAAAATTACACAAAAAATTGATGAATCACACCGTTGACTGAATTGGAAATGTTTTTCCTAACAATATACAGTTGTAATCGTTTACCTGTGCAGTGAAACGAAAAAAAACGCGCCCTTTATATTATGCGTAAGCGTATATAGCTCATCATGTCTTACACTGTAAATAATTAAATGTCTCATCTTATCCAATTTTAATTATTAATTTTTTAGTATTTAATTGCTCGTATAATTAATAAAAAAAATTATTAAATAAAAATAAATTTGATGGTGGAAATTAAAAATATAATTTATATTGATATATAATAATTAAATTATATATATATATATATATAGGCAAAATAATTTGCAATGTGACTGTATATAAACATTGGTGCAATCACATAGAAATTACGTCGTTTTGGGTGGAATAAAGAAAGTTCGCGTTTAGAATTAATTGTAGAAAATGGAAATATTATATTTATTTCCATCTTTGTATGGTTATGATTCCCCATATTTAATGCTTTTACACTATAAAATGACGTAATTTTATATCACTGCACCAAATCTTAGATGCAGTCACTGTATATCTGCTAAACCCACACACACACACACATATATATATATATATATATGAGGTTAATATTTTTCCAACCATTTAAGATAAGCTTATCTCAAGTTACTTCTTTTAACTATGTACTAAGAATAGTACATAGTTACATTAAAGTAACTTTCTTTTTGCTCTCTTCTCAGTCACTTTTTATAACTTGTCTGCTGATATGGAGAGAAAAAAATAAAAATAACTTTAACATTATAATTACAGAAAAATATTTCTGCAGTTACTGCATATAAGTTATCTGCATTTACTTTCAAAACGACGTCATTTTGGGATTGAAATATTAAAAAATTATAATTATAAATACTATAATAACCCTGAAATAAATTAAAATTACAAAAATACCATGATTTTTGTCCCAAAACGACGTCGTATTGGACTTACTGCAGATAACTTATCTGCAGTAACTCCAGAAAAAGAAAACCCTTATAATTATGAGAAAAGTGTATGTCATTTTAAAGGATGTAAAGTTGTGTCATTTTAAGAGAGAAAAAAAGATGGATAAAGGAGGAGTTGCCAAAAAAATAAAGGTGTGTCCCACCTCTTGTGAGAGTGAAATGATATAAGTTGTGTCATTTAAAAGGATAAACACTTTTTCCTATAATTATATGGGATAAGTTATTCTGCCTACTTTTATTTTGCCTACCTCTCTCAACACCGTTAGATTACAATCTAATCAAACGGTGGAGATTTACGATATAAAATAAACTCTTTTGCCCCTTTCTCTCTCCCACTGCCTCTTACTCTTTCTCTCTCCTCACCTTTCTCTCTCTTCAATGACACTTCAGCATCAAGAAAAGATGCAAGCTTTTTTCTCAATTCATCCAACTCAGCCAGTGTTATGAACATTTACATAAAATATTGAGATGGGGTGTCAAGAAGAAACAAACCCAAATGTCCTATGTTGTTGCGCGTAACATAGAGAGAACATAAATCATTTCCTCATTTCAAGGCAAAAAACAACATAAGTTGATTCGATTTCAAATTTCAACATTAAAGTAGAAATGTTACAGTGATCGTGGATTAATTCAAAGGAAGGGATTATTTGTGGTTTTCGTTTTTTTTTTTTGTATTTTTGTGGTTTCTGCCCGTGTTCAATTATATCAGTTTCTAGGAATTTTGAAAATTATACTCAAGGAATTCAAGTAATTTGCCATTAATCATTGCAAATTACGCAGATCTACGCCAATCGATAGAGAGAAAGGGGAGGAGAAAGAAAGAGTGAGAGACAGTGGGAGAAAGAAAGGGGTAAAAGAGTTTATTTTATATCGTAAATCTTCACGGTTGAATTATATTGTAATCTAATGATGTTGAGAGAGATAGACAAATGTAGGCAAAATAAGAGTAGACAGAATAACTTATTCTTAATTATATACTATCTATAACACATAATTATAAGGGATAACTTGAGACAAACTTATCCCAAATGGTTGGAAAAATATTTTTCCATATATATAAGTCAAAGCCCATATATTAAAGTGTTTGAAGAACTTTGAAACGAGAAATATTTAGATATGCTTAAAATATTACATAAAGAGATATTAACTTTGAAATGCTCAAAATTGTTACACTTTAGGGAAAACCCTAACATAAGTTATTGGGATTTAGTCCATAAAAACCCAAATAACTATACACTCACTTATTAGTTTATATGTGAGAATATTATTTAGACTATATTATTAATGAGGATGGATATTTTGATTTCAGTATAAAACAAAGAAATTTTACTCTTCATCTCAGCCGTTAATTTCTGTCATCTATTAAATAATTAATAATTAATATAACTTAATAAATTATAACTATTAAATAGACAAAAATCAATAATTAAGATGAAGAGTAGTCTTACATCGAATTCCTCCTCATTATTAATCTATCCAACACAAAGCATTAACCTTTTAAGTTTTAGGTTCATCGATTTCAGCTATCAATTCCTCACCTGCTTATCTAACACCTGATTTTCAATAACAACAAAGTTCAAATGATACTGCACAAATTTTATTGTTCCAACTCAATGCTTTGATTGCTCTCTACTGTTTACACCAATTACAATTCACGTGCCTAATAAAATTTCAGACTCATTCAACCAAGATTCCAGAGTTGAACAAACAACCAATTCAACATGCCAGATTTCTCACTATAACACAAATTTCAAGCAAAACTAAATGGAGCTCCATTCCATAGTATATCCTCATTCTTCACAACCTGAAGTGTTGTAGAGTAGACTGCAGAAATACCATTTAGCCTTTGGAATTGTAGTGGTCCACAAAGTCTTATACCATTTATGTTCAAAGTTAGGACTATGACCGGTTGACCTCAGTTACCACATGCATTATCATTACAACTTATTGTAAATTAAGAATGATCGTGAAAGACCTATACTTACACTTCCATATTCACCGTAATAACATAAAATGGGAAAGAGCTGAATTCCCATCGAGCCCCTTGTTATCATAGTAAGCAATGAAATCTTTCAGAGATGTTTCCCTATAAACTGGGGGGTTATCTTCTGACAATAGTTCCTTGATGGGGCCATACATTCTTGTTGTTGGGTAGAGATGAAGAGTGAAAAAGCATGTCACTGATACTCTAGGCCCTCTGTGGTTTGCCAGCACACGGTGCTCCACGCTTTTGAATTTGTCATTGGATATTAGCTGCAATATTGTAACACATAATCCACTTTCAGCTAAATAGTTCTTCATACCAATAACTAAATTCACACGCAGAGAGTTGTTCGTGATAAACAAACAACAAAAGGCAGGATCAATCTTATGTTCACAAACTTCATTGTTCATTGGCATCTATCCCATGAAAGCCTTATTATCCCACCATTGCAATTAATGCTTAACCCACATAATATCAATTAATAGGAAGAACAATGAAAATAAAATGATGACGCAGGTTATGCTCAAAATTATGTTTTACTATGTTGAGGGTCATAAGGAAAAGCATATGCTTGTTGCCGAAAATGGACTAATGAACCTGATGGAAAAATATACCTGTGAATGTCAAAAGAACTTCTATATTATGAGTCAGTGGTGAGAGACTTCAGTAGGTTTGCACGGGGTTATAGGTTTGAGTGTTTGTACCATCATTATATCCCAAAAAAAAAAAAAAAACTATATTACTCATCAATCATCATTGTGTTTTTTTTTTCAGAAATATTCCATCAGTTCATCGCTTCGCAACTAGTCTAATTCAAGCGGGTTCAGGGGAAGCCCGTGGCGGGGAACCACCACCAATGAGCTAAGGCTACACCAACCGTAGCAAGTGGATCCGACACCATGTCTCAACCCAAAACCTTAAGGCATTGGGTTCATGGGTCCTTTCACTTATATACTATTCACTTAGCTCATTACCAACCAATGTGAGACTCATCACACTTGAATATCTCAACAAATTCGTGGCGGATCTAGAATTAAGACTTTAAACCTCTTCCAAAGATGATACTGGAGAGGATCGAACACATGCTCTCACCTCCCAGCTACTCAGCTCCTATACGCCAACTGAGCTACCACCATTTGGTATTACTCATCTAGTGTAAATCCAAATTAATTGCATTACACTCATATAGTGTAATGCAATGAATTGGGATCCATATTGTACGGTAAACATTGAGATTCAGAATGATCAAAGTATCAAACCGTGCAATGTGATCTGCTCACATAAAGAAAGCTTAGCACTAGTCACATATGCAAATCATAGGGGACTTTATTAGGGTGCAAATGAAAAAGGTGTGGAAAAAGAAGAAGAGTGGACTTACTTGTAGCAGATCTCCAATGTTCACTACTAGAGCTCCAGGAAGAGGGGAAACATCAATCCACTCATTATGGCTCAAAACTTGGAGCCCACCAATGTGATCTTGAAGCAGAATTGTAAGGAAATCAGGATCAGAGTGTTTGGTAGTGCCCATAGTCAGTTCAGGCTCAGGACATGCTGGATAATAGTGACTTAAAATTAAGTGACCTTTAGCACAATCCAAGCCTTCAAGATGGTCATGCTTCAGTCCTAGTGCTTCTGATAATAATTCAAATAAAAGACTCCCCAATACATGAATTTGTCTAGAGTATTCCATTGTCACATCCCTGCAAGTTATATTAAAATTCAAATCCCAAAATAAAATTAACTAAAAATACATTTTGGCAAGGTAGAACAATATTCCCTTTACAATTTAGATAAACACATATTTGATAGTCAAGTAATCTCAATGACATGCCCATCAAACTTGAGTTCATGCATTGATAAAAAGTTTTCAATTTTATAATACTTCATGGCTTAGCATTCTTGAAAGTTCAAAGTTACCTACAAACAAGAGGCAATTCTTGTGGATCGAGTGGTTCAGGACCCATCACACAAAAGAGAGTGTCTCTCCAGTTAGCATATTTTGATTGATACAAATCAAAGTTGCTCCCATACTTCACCTTCTTCATCGGCTCCCTGCTGTAATACTCAACCTTCGACTCTTGTGGCAGCTCGTGGAACTCACGCGCCGCCGCTACCATCTCCTCCAACAGTTTTATGGGTATTCCATGGTTCACCACCTGGAAAAACCCCACTGTTTCTGCAGCCTGTCGGACTCCGGCAACCACGCCGGAGCAGTCTCCGGCGAAATCTTTGAGATCAATAACAGGAATCCTGAACTGGGTCTGAGTCGGTTCGCCGGAAACTTCCTTGCCGGCGGCGAACTCTTCTGGCGGCCTGATAAAAATTCTTGGGACTTTGGTGATGCCGGAGTCAACAAGACCTTTAACACCAGCTTTGGACTCGTCGAAGGTCTTCAGTTCTTGCAAACGGTCATAGGTAGTGGAATTTCCGGCGAAAGATTTTCCGGCACCGGCAACATTCATTGTGGTGTAGGTGTGTACCACAAGCTTATCTTTCTAATGCAACCTCTATCCTCTTTGTTTTTTTGTTACACTACTCAATAAGCAGTAAAAAGAGGTATATTTTATTTTCATTAAAATAATAAAATAAAAAAGAATAAAACCAAATCAGTTTTTTATTTCATTTTTGGAAAAAAGTTCAAATATTATTATTTAAATAAGAAATTATAAAAACGTAACAGTTTAGAACCAATTTACGAATATATAGCAATCAATCGCACCTAAAATTGGGCGTGACGGATCGTGTTTCCAGCAGGGTGCAATGGGTGCTTGGTCGCGTCTCATTTTGGGCACGATAGCACCTAACCGCCTTGCTGAGGGTGCGACCAAGCCCCTTACTGCCCAATTTTAGATGCGATTGGCTCTGTTATCCCTTATTTAAACCCCTCTCCTTTCTACACTCTTCACACTCTTCTCCATCATAAATCTTTACTCTTAGATACATTATCACTTGCTTATTTATACTCTCTTTTGTGTTTTTTGTTTATATATTTAAAAATGAGTTCACATTCTGATTCTTTTCGTGTTGTTCTATATTATAATGGTAGAAAAGTGGAAGATCAACGTGGTGTAGATTTTGAAGGCAAGAAAAGGCCAACACATATCAAGCACAACTCAAAAATTGACGAACTGCATCAGAAAATTCGTCAAAAATTAGGTCTAAAAGGTGACCAATGTATCACTCTGGTCACGACAAGATTATGGTCCAAAGAACAAGATTATGGTCCAAAGAACAATAAATTAGTTTGCAAGTTGTGGATGATGAATACGTAGATATGGTAATGGAAGAATTCTTCAACCAGTCAAGGAAATATTTCTTAGAGTTGTATGTGGATATTGTCGGAGCAGAGGATTTTGTTTTACCCATAAGGTCAGTTGCTTTCAATTCTACATATAATGCATCATCATCTGCTGCTCCAGTTGTTAACATGTCTTAGGACGATGAAAATGGTCCTACTTGGGTTATGGATGAGGACGATGATGCTGACGATGATTAAAATATCACAATGGAATATCATCTTCTTATTAAGGATGCTAATGCTCCGGACAATGATGAGGATCATGGTCTACCCACGACTCAAATCCAAGAATATCATGATCTGGGGGAGTCTCAATTCCCGGACCATCATGACATAGGCTCGACTCAATTCCCACAACATTCTGAAGGTATGTTAGTAAACAACACGTATATACATACATGGTTTCGTTTAATAATTTTTTTTGTTACTTGTATTAATTCGTACATGCAGGTGATGTCATTACTCTTTTTTGGGATGAGATTCCACATTACACTTACATTGATTGGGATTACTAGAGCAAACAAAAAAAATCTTGTACTGAGGGTTTAGTTCAGGGTCCATGGCAATTAGGGGATAAATTATTTGTTAAGCAGGAATTTGCATTAAAAAAAGAGGCGCAGACGGCAATCGAGCAGAACCTCATGAAGAAGCATCAAGAAGTGATTGTGGTTAAGAGCACGCCTACAAAGTTAAGCATGAAATTCCCGCGCATGAGCAGGGTTTCCTGTGAAGGGTTAGGGTAATGAAACCAACGTACAGTGAAAAATGGGTTGCTACTATATGGGTTGGAGATCACAATTGCTTGAACGACCACATTTCTTAGGATCACAGACAACTTGATTATGATGTTATTGTTTTACTAGTACTAGGTATGCTATTGGAGATTTTTGTACATATGCAAAATTTATGGTATTTTTGTTTGTCTTAATGTATACATAATTTGATTCCTCCTTTGATGATAAAGGAGGAACAATCAATCTCAATTGCACTGGTTCATGAGTGGATCACCCGTTACAATGGATTCAAAGTTTCATATAAAAAGGCATGGTATGCAAAAAGCAATTGCAATGATCTATGGTGATTGGGAGGAATCTTATGCATTTTTACCCAGGTGATGTGAGTACATGCTTCGCTTTTCACCAGGTTATGTTTATCATCTCCAAACAAATGATTATTTTGTGGCTCATTGACGAATTCCTGGAAAATGTGTATTTCATCACACTTTCTGGTATTCAGACAATGTTGCGAGGCTTCCAATTTTTGCAAACCAGTCATTCAAATTGACTGCACTTATTCATATGGCAAGTACAAAGGAAAATTATTGATTGCCATGGCTCAGGATGGAAATAATGAATGTTTACCACTTGCATTTTCCATTGTTTAGGGCAAGACCTTGGAAGCTTGATCATACTTTCTCGCTAACATCCGTATGCATGTTACCCATAGGTCAAATATATGTCTCATCTTGGATCGAACTGAAGCATTTTATCTGCTACGAAAATCACTTTGGTTGGCAGTCGCCACATGCCTATCACGTGTTTTGTGTTTGTCATATTGCTAGCAATTTTAATCAAAAGTTTAGAAATGAAAAATTGAAGAAGGCGATAATAATTTTAGGTATGGTTAACAACTCTTATTTCCAATATGAATGTATTAATGAATTTTAATTTCTTATATTAATTTTTTAACGTAAATAATTATCATTGTGTGTAGGTTATGCTCCTTCTCTAGTGGATTTTGAGATAGCCTTTGCACAGTTTCGTGATACCAGTCTTGAGGTTGCGAACTGGATTAATAGCATCCCCTAGGAGAAGTGGACATGTGCATATGATGTAGAGGGACAAAGAAATAGGCATATGACAACAAACTTGTTCGAAGCTGTAAACAGGGTGTTAAAGGGGAAAAGAAACATGCCAATAGCTGCTCTGATTAAGCACACATGCAGCAAATTGGTTCATTATTTTGTGACCAGGGGTCAACATGCTGCCTCGCAACATCAATCTTCTCAATGTCTTTGCAAAAATGTGGTTGATGCTTTGAAGCATAATGAGTCCCTTGCTACAGGCCATCATGTTTGTACCTATAATGTTAAAGAGAAACAATATTTGAGGTGGTGAGGGTTATGAGATGTCGTATTTTGTAAACCTTCCAGATCAATGGTGTCAATGTGGGAAGTTTAAGGCCTTCGAATACCCATGTAGTCATGCCGCAACAACTTGTTTACATGTTCGTGCAAACCCAACACAATATGTGGATGATGTATTCTTGACAACTAACCCGGTCTAGGCGTACTCATTTCCATGGCAGCCAATTGGGAATGAGCAAGCTATTCCACCCAATGCAGATCCAGTTCTCATACCTGATAAGTCAATGTTGCGTGCATAGGTCCAACCAAAGTCAACCAAAATACGTAACAAGATGGGTGAAGATGAAACCAGTTCCAGTCGTATTAAGTGTGGTATTTGCAAAATGTCCATGAAATATACAATGTCCATGATATAATAAGAAATACCAAATATCAAATCTCTGACGGAAGAGGCCATTACTAATGACACGCCTGACAATTTGGCATTCTGCGTCTACCTCCTGCGCGCGAAGACTCTGGATACGAGTCTACAGCTGTGATGTTAAAGTCCTGTGTGGCAGCCTGTATAAAATCATCAACAGTTGTACTTGGATGGATGGGAGATAATGCATGCATATATACGGAGCTGGTGTCTCGTATGTAGTTTGCTCTGGCTTATAGTCTAACCCAACACTATCGTCATATAACTGGCTGCGAAGATCATTAAAATCTGCTTGTGTCCACTCCTGATATGCGTGACTACTGCTCTGCCTGACACTGCTAATGACGCGCCTAACGATCTGGAAATCTGCGTCTTCATCTTGCCCGCAAAGACTCTAGATGCGGGTCTGCATCTGGGATGTGTGGCAGCATGTATAAAATCATCAGCGACTGTACCTGGATGAATGGGATGGTGCAGGAACATGATACCGAGCCGATATCTCCTCTGCAGGCTGCTTTGGATGATAGTCTAACCCAACACTGTCGTCATATAACTAGTTGCAAAGATCATTAAAATATGCCTGTGTGCACTCCTGATACGCATGACTATTGCTCTTAGCATGACTATTACTCTGCTCGACACCAGATGCCATGGCCACTGGTCTGGCTTGATACACCAGCTGGTTCTGTGAGTCCATCAATGAATTTGTTCTAGCCTAGCTGGGATTATATGCTTGGTCCTGCTTAGGGGACTCAAAATAAATGGGTCGAGTGCCATATGTAGGACCTATGGCTGGAGCAATGTTATTAAAACTGGCCCGGTCAATGACCTGGTCGAGGTACTTCGTCACTGGTTCAAGCAGTGGGTCACTGGTTCAAGCAGTGGGTCACTGGTTCAACCAGTGGGTCACTGGTTGAACCGCATGACCCGGTGATTATATATAAATCTATAATTTATATTAAAAAATTATAAATATACTCAAATAGCTGAAAAAATAATATAAATTCTAAATATTTTAATATAAAAAATAACAAATTATACATTATTGTTCAATAAAAGGATCAAACAAACACATAATGCTTGTTATATTTGTGTTTCAGGTTCAATAAACGACATCTCTAACTATCAAATCAAAATTTCATGCATAGTGCATAATTAAGATAATATTAAGATTGTAGGTACATAATTTATGTAAGTCAATAAGTAACAAATCACTCAAATATGTCAATTATGATTATTTTTTTGGAAAACTTTTTTTTTTTGAAAATATTTAGAAAAAAAACCCGGGTCGGGTCACCGGTTTTCACCAAAACTGGCCGGGTCGCACCGGGTCTGATACTTGACCGATCCAATGTGATAACCGGACCAGTCAGATGACCGGTTCACCGGGTTCCGGGTCGACCCGGCCGTCCCGGTCCGATTTTCAACACAATGGGCTAGAGGCTTAAACCATCCAGGCATGCATGGCCTAGGCATAAAAATAGGCTCAGGAACTGGCTGCATCTGTCAGCGGCGACGTCTAATCCCACGTCCCTTCTTCGCACGACGCCCTATGTCAATGGATAATTGCGCCTCATCGAGAAGCTGGGTCAGGGGAGCCGAAGCTCCTAGGTCTTTGACTCGAGATGTCTCTCGAAAATGTGCAATAATGCAACCAATCTCCTAGTTGTAATCTCCAATGTGTAGTTCGGGAA